CCTTGGAGGCCAGGATGACCAAACTTCGTCTCTGATACTTCGGACATATTGTCAGGAGGGACCAGTTGCTAGAGAAGGAGATCATGTTTGGTAAGGTGGAGGGTCAGAGAAGGAGAGGAAGACCCCCAGCAAGATGAATTGACAAGTGTCAGCATCAGTGGACTCAAGCATGGCAACAATTGTGAGGTTGGCCCAGGACTGGGCAGTGTTTCATTCAGATGTACATAGGGTCACTATGAGTTGGTACGGACTCAATGGCACTTAACAACAACAACAACAAGCTTACCAGGAATCACTTAATAACACAATCTTGTCTGTGTCCTCGAGGGGCTCATCATCTAGCTAGGTGTGTTCCCAGTTTTCACAGTGTTCTCCATCAGGAGCCGCCACATTCCCTTAGACTCTGAGATTGAAGGGTAGTTATTGTATACAGTATACAGTATGATTTGGTGGGAAGAAATAGGAAAAAGCCAGAGTCCTAAGAGGTGGTTGTAATCTTTATCACAAAGGTAAGCTTGTAAGTTTGAGAGGAAAGGGAGGAAGTTATAAAAGATGAACTTACACAGAAGTTGTGGTTTTAAAAGTAAAAAATGGAAGAAGTTAAAGGAATGATAAAAACCTGAGAGTAGTGCTTCTCAAACTTGTTTAGCAAAGTACCTCTGGTGGAGGAAAAGACTGAAGAGAATAAACACATATCCTTTGTCTGGGAATCTAGTCCAAAGCGACATAGAACAAAGAGGATCGTTCTTTATTTTGAATGAAGTCTTTAATTTTTAAAAAGTTTTTATTGTAAATTGAGTGATAGTTTACATGAGAGAATATCAGTTTTATACTTATCCTGTCATAGTTTGTTTCATTATAATGATTACAACCCCCTCCACTTAACAATATTTGCTTCTATTCCCTCTGTTTTTTTTGTTTTTTGTTTAATGTATACAAAAACACTTAGAAATATATAATCGTTTTAACAACCAAAGGGCACATTCTGCAAGTCTGCCTTCTGGCCCCAGAACACTGTTCTTTCTTTTCCCATGAGTCTAGAGTCCTCAGCTGCTCTCTCTCTCCATGTCCTTATCTCTGCTTCCATTTCTGGTATCACTGCTTCTCTGGGTAGGGTCCCACATTCCCCCACATTCTGCTCATGCTCTTCTCCCTTGATCCTAGGGTCCTCTGTTCCTGGAATGTGAGTTTAAGCCCTTTATGTTACAAAACTTCTACCTTTACAGTTGTAACAATCCGAGAGTTAGTCATGGTAACAATTAGTACTGAATCTAAAGAATCCTATCCCCATCTCCTTTCACCAGACACCCATCTAGACAAGACAAGATGAAAAGTATTCAGTGGGGATTCTATCTACGAATCCCCTGCCTGCCCCACACACTCTGAAACTAAACCCCCTCTTGAAAACTTGTAAGCCAGCCACTTTGTGCCTTTGTAGCTCCCCTATTTTAAGTAGCCAATGTTTAAGTTGCCAGTCCTTATCAACCCTGTATACCAAAGGGATATGTTTGATCTTTGATGTGAAGACTGCTTCCCTCTTGGTTGGTATTTTCAGCTACTACACCCATAAGTGGCTTCCTGGTGTGGTGCTGTGGGCTAATGCGTCAGACTGCAAAGTCGTTTGAACTGCAAAGTCGGTGGTTCAAGCTCACCAGCTACTCCTTGGAAACCCTATACAGGGTCGCTATGGGTCAGAATCAACTCGACGGCACTTAGCAACAACAACAACACCCATAAGTAAAGGTCAAGTTCATCAAATTGTAGCAATTTATAGTTGCTTCCTTTAACAAATTTATCTTCCTCTAGTTGAGCTGTGGTCATCAAGCCATGGAAGCTAGGTCAGATGGGTACTATCTGCAGTTTTGGCCATTCTTGTTCGTTCCCCCCTCCTCCAAACTTCATATCAAATGGACACTTCACGCTCAGCTCTAGCCCTCCATGGCTGTTAATGTCCATGAGGTCAGGAATTCTCAAGTCTACCCCCAAACTTCAGATCAACCAGTCCTTCCTCTTCTCTCTCTAATCTCAAGGTCCTCAGGAGTCTATGGAACATGGTCAAACTCAGCCTGTATTTCATTACTGACTTTCCCCCACTTCCATTCAAATGTAGACCAACGCGGTCACCAGTGAGCTTACATGCCTGCTTGTGTGTTCCCTTTGAGTTTCAGTCTTAGAGGGGGGTTTGCCCTGAAGGGATTTTATTGCTTGCCTTGATGGCTCCCTGAACCAAGTCTTTTTATATGAAGTCTTATTTCATTTTACAAGTTAATGGGAATTATATAATCCAGTCATATTGTCTGAATATATAAGCTGTTAAATAATGTTGACATTATGAGAGGGATGATGGGTTTATTTTATGCCTGAGCTTCTCGGATGGTGTGTCTTTGGGTTTGGGTAGGGTAGACATAAAAGTGCTGGTGTTCATGGGGCAGGTTTAGTATGTCTTTACATACTAAGAGGTACACAGTGTTTTTTATGATGCCTTTGGAGGCCAGATGTATTTGGGAATTCAGAATTTTTCATATATTAGATATGGTGAATATAGTGAATATTAATCAAAGCAAAACTACTTTGAGATCTATAGTAGAACCCTATAGCCCAATGTAAATATTGCTGCAGTTAAATATGTGATTATTTATACCAGCTGGGATAGGTGAAGACTTCAGTTTTACTTTGGATCAAGTCAATTTCTCACTAACAGCCCAGGTCAGTTTAGGTTTTTGCTCCTAATTCACATCTGAGAAAACGTTCATTTCCAGACCTCTTTATATTTTGTAGGACTCAGAACTCAAAACTCATAAATTGCTTCTGTCTGCCTTTCAGACCCCTGCTTTGGCAGAAAATGTAACTGGGGTAACAGTTTGATTTCTCCTTTATGATTATATTAACTATCTCAAAATTACTGGAAGATTTCAGTGAAAATGTAGTAACACATGACTGACTTTTAATTTTCAGTACATGTGAAAAAGTCCTGAGTTCTATTCTTTTGAAAAAGAAAGTTAATTTGAACAATTTGCTCAAATCCATTAGAGTACAGTGTGTAATCTGAAAGTTCTTTGTGGCCTCTTGCCAGTTCCAGCAAGGAAGACAAAAACCCTCACCTATGAATTCTGTTGTTGCCTGTCTGAGGTCAGCCATGAAGCAAGCACTATTGCTTTCTCTTTACCACAGTCTGTACTAACCTCCTCTGCTGGATAGCAATAGGATTTGAAAAAACAAGCTATTTCACAAAGCTGGTTCCACAAAGTAAATTGCTGGCAGATTTTTTTCCCCTCACAGTTGCAAATGTGTTTGTTAAATAGGTAATAAATCTCCTAATGGAATAAGTGACTATCCAAAGATCAGAGTGACAGTAACCCGAGATCAGCCACGCAGAGTGTTGCCTTCCTTTGGGTAAGTGTTAAATTCCTTTTTGTAAATGGAAACTTAATACTTGCTAGGTGCTCACATTTGCTGGGCACTTTATTATGTAATCCTGTAAAGTAAGTACTTTGACATACAGCTAGTGAGAGATTTGAACTCAGGTGTGTTTTACTTTTTGTGCCATATTGTATGCCTATAGCATTGTCTTTCTTCTAAGCTTTTTTTTGAAGTATGATACGATACAGAAAAGTACTGAAATCATACATTCCTGGCAGCATTTTGTTCTGTTGTGCATAGGGTCACTATGAGTTGGGGGCCAACTCAGTGGCCACTAACAACAGCTCTGTTACTCTCATTTTCTATTTTAATTCCATTATAGCTAGAGAATATACTTTATTTCAATTATTGTAATTTTTTTTTGTAATTCTTTTATTTTTTATTGTAATTCTTTTGTTTTATAGCCTGGAACATGGTCTTATCTGGGTGATGTTCCATGTGTGTTTGAAAAGACTGTGTATTCTACTCGGATTGCGTAGATTGTTCTATAATTATGTTAGGTCAAATTGGCCAGTAATGTTTTCTGGGTCTTAGTTACTTTTTCTTTTTTAAAATTAATTGCTGAGTTTCAGTTAAATTTTCTACTATAATTATGAATTTATCTATTTCTCCTTTCAGTTATATCAGATTTTGCTTCATGTATTTTGCAAACCTTTTATTTTGAAGTTCTCTTGGTAGGTTAATATCCTTCCCCCATTTCTTTTATTATTCTCTGTCAGATATACATATTTTTTTTTCCTGAACTATTTGAAAAGAAGTCTTAGATTCATTCATGCCTCCTTAGCCCTAAGTACTTGAGTGTGTTTATTTTTCTAAAGAATGAAGACATTCATTTACATGATCATGCATTAACTAAAGTAAGAATCAACATTGACACAATACTGTTATCTAATCTGTAGGTCATGCTGAAAGGTCTCCATTGTAGCAATTCTTTTTTCCTGGTCCAGGATCCCTTGTAGGATCATACTTTGCCTTTAGTGTACATTTTCTTTGGTCTCCTTAAGTCTGCAACAATTCATATTTCTGAAAAGGGTTTGTATGTAGAGCATTTTTTTTGTAGACTATCCGTGAATTTAATTTTGTTTGATGTTTACTCATGATTTGATTCACTTTATGAGTTCTTTTGTAGAGATACTATATAAGTGATACTGTCTTTTTTTCAAAGAGGGGCGAGATGTCTGTTTTTCCCATTTTTGGTAATAGTTGGAGAGGCAGAGTCTAGCTACAGTGGCTGAGTAGGTGCTTTCCAGTCAGTGCCTTTGTTGTTGTTATTAAGTGCCATTGAGTTGGTTCCAACACATAGTGACCCTGTATAGGGTTTCCTAGGAGCAGTTGGTGAGATTGAACTGTTGACCTTGCAGTTCAAATGGCTTTGCAGTCTGGTGCATTAACGCACAGCGCCAAACCAGGACTCCAGTCAGTGTCTTTGTTGTTATTGTTAAGTGCTGTCAAGTCGGTTCCGACCCTTAGTGTCCCTGAACAGGATTTCTGAGGCTGTAAATCTTTACAGAATCAGAAAGCCTCATCTTTTTCCCACAGAGCAGCTGGTAGTTTCAAACTGCTGACCTTGTGGTTTGCAGCCCGATTCATAACCTCTACGCTAAACGGCTTTGCAGTCTGGTGCATTAACCCATAGTGCCACACCAGGACTCCAGTCAGTGTCTTTAGTATGCATTAATTTCGCATTCAGCAGATACTTATTGAGGGCCTTTTGGCTTCGATCCGATTCTAAGATTCAGTGGTAATCCCTTCATTTAATTTAAAAGTTTAATGTGGGGTGTAGACATTAATCAACATTCAGCAAGTCCTCATACCAATAATTAATACTATTGATGCCAAGTGATTACAGGAAAGAGGCTGTAATCAGCCAGTGCTATGGGTGGGGCAGATCTGGAGTTTGAATTGGGAACTTGGGCATGAGAAAGAAGCATCAGTCCTGGGGACTGGAAATGGACAGTCCAGAGCAGAACGCTGGAGTGAGTGCCCTCAGCCTTGGGGTTAGTGCAAACTTCTGCAAATGGTAAGTTGTCTGGCTTACCAAGAGCTAGCTTATTTTAGGACGGCTTAACCCATTTAACAACTGGGCAGTCTGGGACTTCAAATACCAGCAATTCAAGCAGTCTGATGATGCTGTTTCTGTTGGGATTTTTGGCCTGTTTGTCTTCCTCTCAGTTTTACTCTGAACTCAGAAGGCTGTCATAGAAGATTAGGTGGGCGTCGCCATAGCAGAGGGAATCCAGAGAGTCCGTTACTGTGGAAACCTCAGGAACAGGCAATGACTGAGATGGTTTCTGAAGAGGGTGGCAAGGGTCCAAGGCGTCCCCACTGCACTGTGGAAGAGGTAAGTCCTTTTAGTATGATTCTTTTTAAGAGACATTTTACTATTACAATATCTTACAATAATTATGTAACTATGGTACAGAGTTCAAAAGGTACAAAGGTACAAAGGTACAAAGGTACAGTGATTGTCTGTCTCCCAGTCTCTTTACCAGGCCTGGCCCCCAGTCACCTTTGTCTTTATAAAAAGTAATCTCTGGTGGTTGTATGTATCTTTCTAGAGATTTTCTTAAATATGTGAATTATCAGTCAATTTATGTTGTTTGTTAAGTGTCCTCAAGTTGGTTGTGACTCATAGTGATCCTGTATAGGGTTTCTGAGGTGCAGCTGTTGGATTTGAACCACCAACCTTGTGGTTAGCAGTCCTGTGGTGATCCTACAGCACCATATCAGGACTCTAGATCGTTATTTGGCGTATTAGAGAGAAATAGAAATCATGTTATGAAGAGATAAGATTTTAGATTTTTCTTTTTGTGTGCTTGAATCACTCTGACTTGTTTCTTTGTCTGAATAGTGGTGACTGTGGCTAAGTAGGGGAAGATGATTGTCTGTGTCTCTGCATCTCTGCTATTAGCATCTCCTTTCAGAGCGCTTAGCATGGAGAACACAGTCATCTCTTCACTTCCTTAGTGGAGGCTTCACTTACTCCAGGCAAATTTAGAATTGTTCCTGTATCTTATTGCTGAAGTATTCTCATTCCCATCCTCTAAATTGTTCCCAGGGCCATCACCTCTTGTAATTTGCCAGCCAGTTTTTTTAGTTTATCAAGCAACTATTTATCTGAGTCCCAGGTACTGTGCAAATTGCCAGCAATTTAAAATTAAATTTAATGTGGTCCCTATTCTAATGTACTATGCAAAGGCTTTGTAGCAAAGCCTTTTTATTGACTACACAAAGGCTTTCAATTGTGTGGATCATGACAAGCTATGGACAACATTGGGAAGTATGAGTATTCCTGAATACTTAATTGTGCTCATGCAGAATCTGTACTTGGACCAAGAGGCAGTTGTTCTAACAGAATATGGGAAGGAACACTGAATGGTTTAAAAATAAGAAAGGGATGCGACAGCGTTGTATTCTGTCACCATACTTATTCAATCTGTATGATGAGCAAATTAATCTGAGAAGCTGGGTTATATGAAGAAAAACATGGCACAGGATTGGAGGAAGACTCATTAACAACCTGTGATATGCAGATGATACAATCTTCCTTGCTGAAAGTAAAGAGGACTTAAAGTATTTACTGATGAAAATCAAAGAGCATAACCTTCGGTATGGATTGCATCTCAATGCAAAGAAAACAAAAATCCTCCCTACTGGACCAATAAACAACATTCTTTTCATTCTTTTTCCTTTAGGTTTTTATTGTGGATTGAGTGAAAGTTTATAGGCAGACCATCAGTTTTACATTCAACAAATCATACAACTTGTTTCATCACAATGATTACA